ACTTCAGAAATATATCTGACCTATAACTCGACACAAAACTGCCAAGTTTCATGAGTCTGACTTTATTATTTTTCCAAAAATTTAAAATTAGCTTCTGGAGTTGTATGGCAGGTACCCGAACCTGTCAAGCAATTCCTCTAAAACTTCACAAATATATCTGATCTATAATCGGACATCCAACTGCCAAGTTTCATGAATCTGACTTTATTATTTTCCCAAATATTTAAAATTAGCTTCTGGAGTTGTATGGCAGGTACCCGAACCTGTAAAGCAATTCCTCTAAAACTTCAGAAGTATATTTGACCTATAATTGGACACATGATTGCCAAGTTTCATGAATCTGACTTTATTATTTTGCCGAATATAAAAAATTTGCTGTTGGAGTTGTATGGCAGCCACCCGAACCGGTGCAGCTATCCCATTATAATTTCTAGAGCATATGTAGAATATAATTGGACACATGTATACAAAATTTTATATTTATAGCTTTTTTAATTTTTGAAATATTTAAAATAAACTCTTTGAGTTGTATGGCAGCTACCCGAACCCGTTGTCCGAATTAGTCCAATAACAATAGGGCTCGTCCTTAGCACAAAAGAAAAAACTTGTGAAAGTTTGGTGTCGATTGCATTATTCGTTTTTGAGTTATGGTGCGATCGGACGGACGGACGGACGGACGGACGGACGGACGGACGGACGGACGGACGGACAGACGGACATGTCTAAATCGACGCAGAATTTTACGCTGAGCAAGAATATATATATATGTCCATACCGCAGATGACTCCTTCAAGTAGTTACAAACTCCATACCAAAGTTAATATACCCTTCACGAAGTGCAGGGTATAACAAGTGTTATTTAAAATAAAATAATTATAAGTGTTTCAAGTTGAATATTAAAAATACGTGAAATGTAATAATAATAATTATAAATTAATTAATAATTAAAAACTAAATTAATAATAAAGAACATTACAACTTAAAATAAAATCATTGCGATTTTTAATAAAATAAAAATATAAAATGGTCTTCTTGCCAAATTACTGCAGGAAGCCATATTGGTGACCCCTACTGAACAATGTGTTAAAAGTTTTTATTAAAACTAAAATTGTAATATATGTTTTATTACACATTCAAAAAAATTTAAATGAATTACAATAAAATTTTGTATTTAAAATAAAAGTTCACTAATATTAATAGTAATCAAAACGCTAATATAAAATTTATAAATAAAACAATTACAACACAAAAAAATATAATCATCATATAATTGTTAAACTTAATTTTAATGTTGTGTTAACATAAAAATATTGTGTATATATATATTGGAACTATACATATGCATCCAATTTTCAAAAATTGGATTTTTCTTATGCTGAAAACAAACAGCTATAACAACTCAGCGATCAAAAATTTCAAAAATTTTTATTGGACATACATTGCTGTGCTTCACATGCAGTTAAAATTAATGTTAGAATTTTCAACATCATCAAAATCATATATAATTTCTCAAACAATTGCACATTCAACCAGCCCCGGATTTATCATACATGCAAAGTATGCATTTGCAATGGGCGATAAAAAATAGGGGCGCCATTGAAAACTTAAAAAACCCCTAAATTTAAAAAAAAAAAATTTTCACCCAAAAAAAAGGATTCCAAGTTTTTTTTTATACATCAATTTATAGCGAAATTAACTTAATAAAATCTACCTACATGCAAACATAATATTTTGTTCCTACACATATTTTCTATTTGCACCATATAACAAAAAATGTTCACAGAATTAAAATTACTCATACATTTCTTTACTCTACACTACTCTTTCATTCTTATTTTTTATGTACTGTATATGCCTATAAACACAGAATATTATTTCACACAGCTGTATACATTCAATCGTTCATATATATAAGTGAAATCGTCTCATATAATATACATACATATATAGAAGCAATGTACGCAACAAATAAAAATATCCAAAAATACACATGTACATATAATTTATATTGTCTAATATGAATAAGATCAACACTCATGCGTACACATATAATTATCTCATAAAGCAAAATTTTTATTTTGTTGAGATTGCTCCCTATCAACACTCGCTCGTACACATATAATTATATCACAAAGCAATGTTTTTATTATGCTTAGTGGCTACACTCGTTCGTACACATTATATTTAAATTGTTTCATACATGCAAAATTTTATTTTTGCTTAGTTGTCGCCCACTCACCAAACAAACAAACACATTATTATAATGTATTACTTTTCTGTATACTATTGCATTAGTAAACAACAAGAACAAAACAAAAAAAACACAAATTAAGAATGAGAATAGAAAGAAATTAGAAAAAGAGAATGAGAGCAATATTCTTAAATGATGGAAAGCATAGCTTGATATTGAGATTGTGTATACCAATATTTTGTTTTTGTTTAACAACAAAAAATTTTGAATGAATTTTAAAATTACATGATCGTTATGAATTTCTACTACTATGTTCTGCTTTCGTTTTTGAAAAAACTGTTATCAATCACAGAATTAAATTTTAATTGATAAAATCTACTACTTATATTGAATTGAAAAAATGTTGTTTAATAATCAAGTGAATGTTAAGAATTTTTATGCTGAATTGATGTAGTGTAAGTCATCCAAAAAATAAGAGTAAAATGAAATGGCGCATAATTTGCTTCACACATTTAACTCCAAAATTAAAAATGGATTTATTTTAATAAAATCAAAAAAATTTAATGAACAGCATAAAAGCTTGTACCAATGTTCATAAAAAGCTTAGTTTTCAAGTCATAAATTTTAGAACGAAACTTTGATTTTCCTTAAATTTTTGAATGCAAGTCGAAACTTTTTTTATACGCTGCTTCATTTCTCAGGCGATTTGTGAAATAAAAAGCCAAATTTTACGAATAAAAATAAAAATAAAATTACGAATAAAAATAAAAATAATTTTTTACTTTTTTTCATATTCAAATAAGCTTTGAAAAAGTTTATTTGATATAATTTTCATAGAACCTTTTACAATAAGTTTCACTTACGTCAAAAAGTAAATTTTTTGGTTGTTAAAATCAAAAAATCAAGTTTAAGTGATTGATATAAATCTAATCATAACTTCATAAAAAAACGTACAGTTAAATAAATTACCTTGTTTTTGAATTTATAAAACAAAAAATTGAAAGTTTAGTTCCAGACTTTAATTCTATAATTCAGCACAATAAGGTTACAAGAAACTGCTTTATGATGCACAATGTGCAATGCCTATTAAATTTTGTTCACAGTAATAAAATAGGTGAAAAGGTTGAAGGGGGGGGGGGCGCACTTTTTAGGAACCGCTTAGGGCGACGAATACATCAGAACCGCGCCTGCATTCAACCATTCAACTATTCAATTGCGTTCAACTAATCATTCATCAACATCAAGCGGAATCAACATCATCTATACTTATCCATCACTTCATCAACCAGAAAGCATCATGAATATTAAGATAAGTTCTATTAATTTCCTTATTTCTTACATTTCTTATTTTTAAAAAAAGAATAATTAAAATACATTTTTAAAAAAAAGTTTTTGTTTTTCAAAAATTAAGAATAAAAATTAAAATTTCAAAGAATTACATAGTAAGTAAACTTAATAGTTCACTAATTAACCAACCGAAATCATTACATTTTTTTATTTTTAATTAAACTTAAACTTAAATTAATTCAAAAATTTTTTTACTATATTAGATAATAAACTAAAATAATTTTTTTTTAAAAAAGCATGCATACATAAATACATAACACAAGATATATCGTATGTATATAATATATTAAATTTTAATATGATTTTAATACTATAATGTTAAAATCAAATTATGTATATTACATCTAATTATTTCATTTAAAATTTTGCAATAGTTAGAATATATTAAAAATATATTATTTTCTTTAACATTTGTATGTATGTTTGTTTATTTGAAAGAAAATTTTTTTTTTCTCAAAAATACACCTAGGTCAAAAAGACGTTTACCTAGCATCATAAAGACATAAAATCAAAATTTTTCAATTATAATGTTCGGTTGTTAATTAATTTTTTTAATTAGTGATACAAATATTATTTTATTTAATTAATTAAATTTTAAAATAACATATACATTATAATTTTAACTTCTAAAAATTTAAAAATTTTTAATATGAAAAATGTTCTAACAATATCTAAGAAAATAAAAAAAAAATTATTAAATATAAATTACATCTTTAAAAATTTTTTTTACATATTCCCATTTAAGTACATACTTACATACGCATATATAGGAATTGTATTTAATGAATTTTAATTTTTTTTTTTTAATATCGAAATTTTTTTTTAATATCAATTTTAACACGCATATATGTACATTGGGGTATGCACATATATATTGTAAAATTTAAGTGCATTGTGACCTTTCATATTGATATATTTTTTTTTCTCTTACCTGAAGTGATCATACATTTACTTTTTTTTTCATTTTTCGGTGAATACAGTAAAACCATTTTTTATTGAACGCTAATTTAATTAATGAATTTTAAATGAAAATAATTTTAAATTAAACCAAGTTTTTCTTACCATTTTAAAAATTTTTTTTAAGTTTATGATTCGAGGATTCATATATTTTTATGAAATTATTTTGAGGAGATTTTTGAATTTGCAATAGCTATTTTTGCATCGATACTATTAAATTTTTATGATTTAACTATTTTACCATTTTATACACTTACCGACTTATTAAGTGTATACTGAGCCCTGTTAATACAATTCGTTTATTTTTAGAAGTATTAAAAATATTTATTTAATATCAAAGTTCAATTGAAAATTCTTCAATTTTTTTTTTTCTTTTTTCGTAGTTTAGATTACCGTTCCGAAATTTTTTTTTTTTTTTTTTCATTTAAACATTTCATTTTAATTTGATACAAATTTTTCTTTGTTTTAAATTTTGTATTTCATAAAATCAATTTAAATATGTCGAATGACGAGAAAATACCTAAAACAGAACCATTCTACAAATCCTTTGATGCCTCCGGCTTCCGACCTTTTTCGGGCGAATCCTAGTGCTTTGGAGGAAGAAACAAATGCCGACTCAAACCCTTTCAGTCCTGCGACCGAGATAAAACACGAGGTAGACTCTGTGCGCGTTCGTTTACCCCCATTTTGGTCTGCCAACCCGGCGACCTGGTTCATTCAGGCGGAAGCGCAATTTACGGTTTATAGAATAACCAGTAGTGATACCAAATACTGTCTAACTGTGTCTGCATTACCTCCAGATACTCTAGATTCCGTGATCGATATTTTAAATAATCCACCAAGTTCGCAGCCATATGAAACTCTAAAAGGGGCTCTCATAGAAAGACATTCACTCTCCGAAATTAAAAAATTGGAATCTCTCCTGGATCGAGAAGATATCGGTGATCGTAGGCCATCCGAAGTCTTTAGGTCCATGCGGATGCTAGCATGTAGCTCATTTAATGAAAGTATTATCAGAAACTTGTGGCTTCGTCGTTTACCGCGCAACATTTACATCACCTTACTGGCCGTGTGTGATAAGCCTATGAATGAGCTCACTTCTTTAGCAGATAAAATATATGAGGCTTCTCAATCCGCGCTTTTAAATGCAGTTTCGAAAACGAACAACGCGAATATATGCGCTAGCTCTCCAGTTTCGGGTAAACTCACCGACACTTCGTCTAATTTTGAAAACCGTTTGTCGAGGATTGAAGAAATGTTAGCAAAACTCAATACGGGATCAACTTTTCGAAGTCGTTCTAGAATTCGGAATTCCAGTCGAAATAGGTCCGCCTCTAGACAACCCATGTGTTGGTACCACAAAAAATACGGGCGTGACGCGTTGAAATGTGTAGGACGGTGTAGATTCTTTGCCTCCTTTCATAGGGCGAATGCTACTTCCACAAAAACGAACTCCCCAAACTAAAGCGCCCCGTTATTGTTTCGGCTAATAATGGGAATTACTCTTCACGCCGCTTATTTGTAAGAGACGTCAACAACGACATTTTATTTCTTGTCGACACGGGCGCTGACGTCTCTGTTATACCAAATCGGGGAAACATTGGATGTAAAAATCGGCCTTCGGACTTCTTGCTTTCTGCTGCAAACGGCACTCCTATACAAACTTACGGTACTAAACTACTTCAACTAAACATCGGATTGCGCAGGCAATTTTCACACGCTTTTATCATTGCATCAGTAGGTAGACCTATAATAGGGGCAGATTTTTTGGAACGTTTCGGGCTATTGGTCGATCTTAAGAACAAGAGATTGGTATGTAGATCAAAGCACAAATATGTCGGTTGAAGTTTCGCAGGCTAATGTGGACGTTGTTACACCTTTGCATTATGTCGTGGAAAGTGAATACGGCGAAATTCTTAAAAATTATCCAACCCTTACTCAGGATTCAGATTATTCCGCACCTGTTAAACATTCGGTCGTTCATCACATCGTAAGCAAGGGACAACTTTCTTTTTCCTCTCCACGTAGACTTGATTCAATGCGTCATAAAACGGCTAAAACAGAATTCGAATACATGGTCAGCATTGGGATATGTAGACCTTCTTCGTCATCCGTTTCGTCGCCACTCCATATGGTTAGGAAGAAAAATAACGTCGATTGGCGGCCGTGTGGCGATTACCGGCGTCTGAACGCTGTCACGGTGCCAGATCGTTATCCTATTCCTCACATTCAAAACTTTTCCATGAATTTATTTGGCAAGCGTATCTTTTCAAAAATCGATCTTGTTAGGGCATATCACTTGATCCCTGTTTCCCAAGACGACATGCATAAAACTGCAATAACTACTCCTTTCGGCATGTTCGAATTTAGTCATATGCCTTTCGGACTTCGAAATGCCGCTCAAACCTTCCAACGATTTATGGACGAGGTCACTCGCGGTCTCGATTTCCTATTTGTATATATCGACGACATTTTGGTCGCCAGTTCTACTCCATCTGAGCATAAGCAACACCTGCAAATCCTTTTTAAGCGTCTGTCCGAATATGATATTAAGATTAACAGTTCTAAGTGTGTCTTCGGTGTTTCGGAATTGGATTTCTTGAGTCACAAGATTTCTAGTGCTGGTATATTTCCTGCACAGGATCGCGTAGAGGCGATAGTTAACTTCCCGGTACCTAATTCAGTCCGCCAAATACAACGGTTTATAGGTATGGTTAACTATTACCATCGGTTCGTACCCGATCTTGCTAAATTACTTTCTCCTATTTACACTCATCTCTCTGAGTTACTTAGGAGGCCAAAAACTGCTGAAAACTTTAGTTGGCCTGAAAGTCTCAATGACGCGTTTACGGCAGTTAAGGACGCTCTTGCCAAGATCACTCTTTTGGCACACCCACTTTCGAATGGAACATTTAGTATCGCTACGGATGCTTCTGATATTGCCGTCGGCGCTGTTTTGCAGCAGCAGCGTGATAACAACTGGGAACCACTCTCATTCTTTTCGAGAAAACTCATCCCCGCCGAGCAAAAATATTCAGCTTTCGATCGCGAGCTACTTGCTATTTATTTAGCTATAAAACATTTTCGGTATTTCGTAGAAGGACGTGAATTTTCAATACTTACCGACCACAAACCTTTTGTAACGACTCTTTTCACCAAAACCGAGCGAAGCCCGCGGCAAGCCAGGCACTTAGATTATATTTCGCAGTTCACGACGGATATACGTCACATTCGTGGTAGTGATAACGTTGCCGCTGATGGTTTAGCGCGAATAGATAGTTTGGATTCTTCTTCCAGCAAATTCATTGTCGATCTTGGAAGGTTTTCCAAAGCTCAGGAGACTGACGAGGAGTTAAAAACCCTTCTCTCTGACTCGTCATCGAGCTTCAAACTTCAAAAAATTTCGCTTCCTGGTTTGGACGTGTATTGCGAGGTCTCTACCTCGCGATATCGCCCTTACATTCCAAGCCCTTTACGTCGCAGTATTTTCGAACACTTACATAGTTTTTCTCACCCGGGAATTCGTGCTTCGCGTAAGCTTGCAACGAATAAGTATTTTTGGCCGAGGATGAATGTTGACGTCGCGAAATGGACTAGAGCTTATTTGGCTTGCCAAAGATCAAAAATTCAACGACATACGAAATCACAATTCGGGAAATTTGACCTACCTTCGGGCCGATTCGAGCATATGCATATGGATCTGGTAGGCTCTTTAGCGATTTCCTGTGGCAATTCATACATCTTAACAATTGTCGATCGTTTTTCGCGATGGCCTGAGGCTTACCCTATCAGGGACATGACCGCGTCGACAGTCGCGCGCACTTTCGCCGAAAATTATATTCCGCGATTCGGAACCCCATATAGAATAACCACGGACCAGGGTTCACAATTTGAATCTAAGTTATTTGCAAAACTAACGAGTTTATTCGGTATTCAAAAGATTCACACGACCCCTTACCATCCTCAGTCGAACGGAATGGTAGAACGATTTCACCGACAACTTAAATCTGCATTACAGGCCCGTGGTAACACGGTGCATTGGAGTTCCGAGCTCCCAATCGTGCTTTTAGGATCTCGGGCCGCAATTAAGGAAGATTTGGGATGTTCCCCAGCAGAAATGGTATACGGACAAAATCTCCGTTTACCTGGTGAGATTTTTGTCGATGAAAAACCAGATGTTAACGACTGCGACACTGTCATAACGCGGCTTCGCGAAACTGTGCGTAATCTAATTCCAGCGGCACCGAGAGAGGCGGAACAAAAAGTTTTCATTCCAAAAGATTTACATAATTGTCAACACGTTTTCGTTCGGGTTGATAAAGTAAAAACGGGATTAACACCTCCTTATGACGGACCATTCAAGGTCATTAGAAGATTTAGAAAACATTTTGTGATAGATATTAACGGACGAAATTCTTCTATTTCAATTGACCGTTTGAAGCCTGCATTTAGCATTTTGGCGTCGGAATCAAATAGTCACAGAGACCCACGTCACGTTGAGTTTAAATAATTCTTGGAGATAGATAAATTTTTCTTACCTTTATCATTTTTTTTACTTTTAATTTTCATATTTCATACTACAAATTTTAATTCGAATCATATTAAATTTTTTTTATCTCATTTTAAATACGTTAAATCTCGGGGGAGGGTGATGTTGAGATCTTTCTCACAAAAGGTTCTACACTCCTGACTTGATTTTTAAATTTTTGAAAAACACTTTCTTGAATATTATCATACTCTCTTAAACTTGGCTTAATTATATATATTTAATTTACCTACATAATGATTCACTTACACATTAGTAATTTAGTTAAATTTCGAAAAATGAATTAACTGTAAAATTCATTTTTCTCTCATTATATTCCATACTCATTTTTCTCTCATTATATTCCAATGATTTGAAATTCCATACTTATATTCCTATTCGATAAATGGTCACAGTGCAGTTAAGTTAATTTTAATAAAACAAGTGTTATTTAAAATAAAATAATTATAAGTGTTTCAAGTTGAATATTAAAAATACGTGAAATGTAATAATAATAATTATAAATTAATTAATAATTAAAAACTAAATTAATAATAAAGAACATTACAACTTAAAATAAAATCATTGCGATTTTTAATAAAATAAAAATATAAAATGGTCTTCTTGCCAAAATACTGCAGGAAGCCATAATCCACTCCCTGGTGTTTTGATTGTTGCATGTTACGGATATCCATCCGTCCCTTTTCAACGCTGCAGTGAATTGTGGATGAGAGTCCACAACCCTATCCATTTCATCCATGATGGCTACTTTGATTTTCCCCATCTGGACTTCGGATAGACTTTCCTCTGGATGCAGTCTATGAGTGATGGCCACCTTGACCTGTGCTACTGCATCCCGATAAGAAGTCATTTTCGGGTTTTGTTGAGGAATGTTCCCAGGGACCTTTTCCTCAACATTGCCCTTCATCGACCTCTTCTTTGAGGGCCCTGCATCAGGGGTGTTGCTTTCCGACCTTTCCCTCTTTTGGCGATGGTCGGCCACAACACCCGATCCGCAGGCCTTCAGCTTTTCCAGCCTTTCCTTCTCATATCTGCGAGCTTCCTCTGGGGACATGCCATCCCTGATATAAGCCGCGATACGCCGCTTGGATGCACCAGAGAAATATTGTTTTTTTCCCCTGATGTCCAACCTTTTCAGGTCCTCCTCAGTTTTTTGGATAATAGGTCCAAGAGGATCCTGATTATCCGTCTCCATCGGAGGCGCCGCCTTTTCCTCCACTGGCGTGAGAAGGAGTTCCTCCTCTGCGTCAGTCAAGAGAAGCTCTGGTTCCGAAGACCCTTGAGCACTAAGTGGTTGTATGTTGTCCTTAGTATTGCCGTTGCTGTTGCAACTGCCACTGTTGTTATCGTTGTTGTTGTTTCCCATTTCTGGTCCCACGAGTAGCGCGGGAAAGTAAAGTCACCCATGGCAGAGCCCGGCATACCATGGGAAGGCTCGTTTAAACTGGAGGGCGCCTGGTATTCAGAGTCCGCATACTAACGACTAAGCTCCCCCTTAGCCACGCAGTCATCGGCATATACTGTTCCACCTTGACTTGGGACGCCTGTCGTCAGCTGACGTATAGATAAGCAAGAGGCTCGCCGCGAGACATGACCACGACACGAACGTAACTTTGATCGTTTCAATCACCCCTTTATCCTCCGCCATTACCGGGGCCCACCACTAGGAGCTGACAGTGCGGTTTTGGGCCCCTGACTCAACTCGACTAAGAGCTTGGCCATTCAAAGTATAGTTTGTAAAACATGGCCGTTTTTGCCTAGAGTAGCACATTTGTGCACATTTACTTACATTGATGTTTAGGGTATTACATGAGCACCAGCCGTAGAAGCGGTTAAAAT